ATTTTGCCCAAGAGGGACTGCAGCCCCCTGTCCTCCTGCTCCGCCGCCTATGTTAGTGTATCGTAGAATGTAAAGCAAGAAAGGGTCTTTTCATACGTAGTTCTGTTAATTATGTAATGTCAACGTATGCTATAGTTTACAAAGTCAGTTCAAATAATAATAACCCAATTGTTCAGTATAAAGTAAATACCATTTCAACGCTCTCTTGTGGTTTTATTAGGATTCAACTGGATAATTTCTAACATCCTCCTTCATCAAATGAGTGAACTGTTTTCATACCTCAAGCATATTTAACCCTTAAAGCCCAAAGAGTGATAAGCACTTAATTTCTCCTCAAAGTGTGCTTCACCGCTTTCGTGATGTTGATCGAAGAAATATTTTCAGTCTTGGGGCAGGGAAACACAATCCAAGAAATGCACTTGTTGCCAAATTTACCGACAGTGGACGCTTGCTTACTGAGAAATTTTCGTTCAACAGCATTTTCCCAGGCGAGTGTTTGCCTTTAACTACAAGGAAGACAAAATAAGAAATAATCTTCCTGAAAAAGCTTTTTCAAAATTGTTATTGCTCCTCATCAGTCTAAAATACTTTTATAAACAGGCTATTCGTTGTATCACCATACCAGAACGAATAGATGGAGAGACTAACACTCCATCCCCCCTTTAGATCTCCTGACACTGTCTATAAGGGACCGGTCATTTTTTATGGCGGGAGGGGGGTGGAGGTGAAGTATATGCTTTCCAGGGGGAGGTGGGATGACGCTTAGTCATCGCCAACAGAGTACGAAGGGGACTATGGAAAATTGACTACTGATGAAAGGGGGAGGGGGTTCGTAAGAATATTACAGAGCCCTACGAGGGGATTAGGCAAAATTTTTGTGACACAATTAACCAAAACTCTTCGATCTGCCCCACTCCCCCTCCAGCCGATTTATAGTGTCGGGTCTCTAATTTGATCCTCTTGTAAGGTAAGGCTTGCCAATCAACAGGTAAAAATTGAAAGACAAGTTGATTAGAAATAATGAAAGAATATATTTCCTCCGAGTTATTTGGTTAAAAAGGTTTGTAAGGTGATCTTTGCAATTTTATAATTACACTATATTTGTTTTATTTTAAGCTCTGCGAATATCCTCGAACCCGTCGCTTCCTGTACAGATCTCCGCATCGATTCAAATTAAAAATTATTTAATGCACTTAGTAAGAAAATATAGAGACGATAAATCTCTCTTTGAAGTTCTTTGTCTTGAAACTAATCAAAGTACCGCGTTCTATATGGCAACGCACAAAAATTTGAATGCTTTAAAGAGTATTCCATTTTTGCCAACGTGAGAAATCTCGATAATCGTTTGAAATTAATGTCTTAATAACTAAATCGAAAAACCGCCGCCAAATATTGAGTTGGTAATTTTTATGATCGTATTTTGAGATCTGAAACGTGACAAATCAGGAACTAGTGTTTTCTTTTGCGTTTTCGTCAATCCCTAAAAATAAATTTTCCTACTGATCTTGCTTAGCGGCATGTCTTTAATCTAACCGGCTGACTTATATAAAGCACAAAAAAGGGAAAAGAAATCGCTCACCCACATGAAATTCAGTGACGATCGCATGGTTGTTCAGCTCATATACTTCAGGATAGGACTGTTTATAAGTAGAGGCATTGTTTTGATATTTCACTTTGTCTTGTTTTGGTTTATTTTCTGCCATTTTTCTTCGTCTTGCATCATAATCGAGTATTGCATGAACTACATATAATTATGTCGCTCTTGCCCCGGCTGGAAACTTGTTCTAATAGGGAAAGCACATTTATACAGTCAAATTCATTAACCTTCACTGAGCTATCATTTGGCAAACCGCAAAAGCAACTATTTATCTTCGCTTGTCACTCTATGCAAACTCTCCATGTCAAAAGGTGTAGTAATTTGCAATAAATAGAGCGGCTAAAGAAAAGAAAAGAATACCGCTTATAGAGAAAAGGAGAGACCGAAAACGTCAATAACTAACTACAATGCAAACTTAAATTATGCAACATTAAGGCTCTATCGTTTCGGCTGTTGGGTGCGATAGTTGCAAACTGATTTTTATTATTTTTTCGCAGCGGGCGAGGGAATATTTGGGTAAGAATTGTTAATTGTTTATTGTGATGTTTCGGCCGTGTGCTAAAGATGTCAGAGCCGCCGCGTGCGAACCGACAAACGTGACCTCAGCAAGGCAGTTGTTGAAAACTCTGTCCCTCCTTGCTCAGCCGGAAGCGATTTCTTTGAATTTAGATTAAATTAGTATGTTGCAATCTGCTGTCTATTTTTCTATTTATTCTCTAAAAGGGCAAATAAGCAATTTGGAAAAACCGTCGTCTGCGCAGAAAGCCTGTTGTATATCTTAGTTTGTTCGGCCTTGACTTGTGTAAAACACGCGATGGTCATCTACTGAAACTCAAAAGGGATTTTCAGTTTGTGAAACGGTTTGTAGAAACAAATAAGACTTATTTAGAAATCTTTTGTCTTTAAATTTTGACGCTAATTGCGGTAACGCTTTTTCTTTCCGCATCACATATACTTCCAGAAAGTGAAACCAAGGCGGGTGGTTTCGGCAATGCTTATTACAAGTAATAACTTTTGGCTTGAAGCGCTCGCCGCTTTCATTGAATCGGCGTAAATGAACTCTTTTCGGCACGACCCGATTGGCGTGTTTGCCATCTCAAAGTTCGGTGGAAACTTGGAAAATAAACAACTGACCCCTGTCGGAGGTCGAGATTCACGTCTTCAGGACTTCGCGGGCTTGTTTGTACAAATGGACTACTCAACTGGTTAGTGCGGCACAACTCTTTCAAGTTGAAGAGCGTTGGACAAGGGACACCCTGTTTTTAGATAATTGAATGCGGAGAAAAGTTTTCGCGCAGTTTTATTTGCGCAAGAAAAGTCAAGGTCGTGAAAGAGAAAAGAAAACAATTCCCTTTCTTTTAAACGAAGGCAAGCCTAGACGGGTTGCTGGTTACAGAGACAAATTGTCGCCACCTCGTTAAAACTGCACGGGAATTCACGGGGAATCTTGTGTCTCTAGTGTGTTACTGAGCGTGTGGATCGTTTTCCAATTGTTTCACATTTTCAATTGTTGATTGAAATTCGAAGGCTTAGGTGTAATTCTGACGATGGCCTGACTCTATCCGGCTCTGACCAACACAAGAGCATCACCGAAGAAAAAAAATTCTCGACTGAAAGTAACTCTTCAACGTGGAGACGGTAAAGCCATGGATTGAGACATAGATTTTCCCTACAAGATTTTAACTTTCACTTCTGCACCGTTAATCGCCTTAAACGCCCTTTATGATTCAAAACCGGAAAGGTATTAGAGTATTTAAACTGTGGTAAGGATATACGACCGCATGAAGAATGGAAAGAAGGGAAATAAATCCTCTTATTACGCACGCGACAGTCGCGAGAAATAATTTTTCAAGGACGACTCATCAGCAACTGCGCAGTACTTTGCAGTTTAACAGCAACCCTGAAGAGAACATACATTACGTTGCACAAAACCTTGCATGGATTGGAGATCAAATGGAGATGCGGATAACATCGGCACAAACAAGGCATACACCAAGAACAATTGGGAGATGTTTAGCTGCAGCGGGAGATAAGATAAACTGGAGGTACAATCCTTTAGCTCGAAGACATAAGACTTTCTTACGGCTCCTCTGGAGAAGCTTTTCTGAACAAGACGACAAGGGATTTGCTTTCGTAGGAGTTCTGCTTCAAGCAGTCTACCTGGCTATCCATGAGGTTTCGCTAAACTTGTAAATTCTTTGTTCGATAATGGTTTGATTCAAAGTGCGTGTTGACATACGCCAAAACTTGGTCTGCTACAATATTTAATTTAAGTTATGTAATACGAGCAGTATTTTATGTTTTACTATGAACCATTGTTACAGTTGCATTGTTGCGTTATTCAGTCGCTGAATATCTTATTGTTTTTGTATATAACATAACTTTGAATTTGTACATAGGCACACATGATCGTATCGTATTTTGATGATCGATATCGTATTTTGATGTTTCAGAAAATGGCTTCGCTATGTATATTGCAACGAAATTAACAATAACGATACGATATAAACATTAATTGTTGTGTATTTATTTAGAATTACTCGTGCTAACATCGTGTGCGCACGAGTTTTAAAAACTCGTAATATTCAACAGCTCTTTATCCGAACGCTTAACAATAGCGAAAACATTTGCTTTGCGATTATGATGAGATGAGGTGTTTGAACGTGTGCACAAAGCACAGTAAATTTACGATTATCCTCTTGTCTTCGTATAGATTCTCAAGAAACTATAATCACTCGACAACTTGCATTTTGGAAATTATTTAATTGACGAGAACTGACCATAAATTAGCGCATATTTCAACTTTGTCAGCTATGCGGAAAACTTTTTATCTTAAACACAACACAACAGCACTGCTTGAGAGGTTCAAAATTTATAACCAAGTTCAATTTTCTCGCAAGAGTCTAAATTATTTCACTTTCGTTTGTCTCGTATTAAGAAGTTCCTCATAATGGACAAAAACGCTTTGGAATTACTTAGTCAAAACTACAGTAAGGATGTTGTAGAAAAGTAGGCATCGCATAAATTAAAATAGCATGCTGTGAAATAGAGACAAACTTGTTATTTCACCGCCTAACACTTGCGAGTGTGGTTTAGTTATGATTTTCACCACAAATACACCGATGTAATCATTTCTTACACTATCGTCCTTTTTCAATTTGCTTGTTATAGGCGACACAGCTGGTATTGACTCTTAAGATATACTGAAACTATTATGTTCCCGCGACCAAAATTTCTGATTATTTTCCAATTAAGGTGTGCCAAGAAAACGTAGCTTGTAATCGCAAACGAATGTGTGCACGTAAGAAACGTCGAAATATTGCTAAGAAAACAAAGCCAAAGTAACATTTGCCCTTTTTAAGGGCTGCGTCTATCATAAACTAGCCGCTCAGGCAGCTATGCAAATACCAAGTCAGGCAATACACGATTGCTAAGAGACTAATCACGCAAGGTTTTTTCCCCTCCCGTTTTTTGCTATTTTTATATAACTTTGTACGATCACAAAATGAAGACAAACAAGGAAAGATCTCTCAATATAAGATCAGGTCATTTTTTCTTCAACGGCAAGACATGATGAATGAGAACTTTGCGTGCTAACGATGAGAAATAAGGAAGTGTTTTGACCAGCTGTCACCCAAACTCGTTTAGAGGAGACGCAATTGCAAAGAAAATTAAACTGAAACAGCTGGAATCATTTTAAAGTCAGTTGGCGAGATGTACATCAGTTGAGTCAGCGTTCACTATTTCATCTTTGTCGGCGTGAAGTCTGGGAAGGGGTGTGCGATCGAGAGAACGCGTCTCTCTAATGTATCAAAGGTCGCAATGTGGTCCAGCTTCCAAGAAAGACGTTCTTCCTTCTCTCACAAGCGTGAGACAAAGAACGAAAACATATTCGGTCCTTAACTAGGACTCGGACTCCAGATCTTCGTTATTGTGCTCTGATGCCCTGCCAATAAACTACAAAGTATTCACATAATGAGCATTTCAGGAGTTCATGTTAATGCTGTATAGAAAGATTCTGAAAGCGTTCAAAAGCTATTTCACACTTTTTGATGTATGTAGATTTCCATCTCTCGTGTTAGGTCACCATGTTCAGTGCAATTCGTTGATTATTTTTTGTCTAATTCTTTTTCGTCTGCATTTTCGTCCATCTCGGTCAATCCATTGCTAGGACATGCTCGAGAGGAATGGCGGGGAAGAAATTTTACCCTTTAGCGCTCATGTCACGTGACTCGTAACAAAGACTGACCGCAGCGAAATGTAGAAATGAATATGAAGGAAAGGTCTATTTTGAAGTGCAAGTCCCTGCTGTTAACAACTGTGGAATCTGCTCTAAGTGAATAAGAACTTCTAAAGGCCACTCGTTGCAATTCAAAAAGCCAATGAACGTAGCACTGTGGGTAAAATGTTGAGTAGACTTATTGGAAAAGTGAGCGGGACTGTGCAAATTCTGCAATGTAATTCGCAGCTTTACTGAGCCAAGGAGAAGACCCTTAGTTATCGGCCTTGCAGGAAGCAGGTCTCTCCAACTGCAGAAGGATTTGAGACGAGTCAGGGAAATTTTTGCCGGAGGTCTGGTTCTATTTTTCAGTGTTAGACCCCTGGCAGATCTCTCGCCGATCGATTAGCGTGTTGCCCAAGGTCTTATCAATCTCGAGCCCAGGGTCATTTTGGCTCCTTGTTAGTGGTATGGCCGTCATTATTTGGCGACCATACCTCTGACAAGGTGCCAAAATGACCCTGGGCTCGAAATTGAGGTCTTATACTTTCCAGCGGGTAATGAAACGTAAATAATGAGGGCATACTTGCATGTTATCGATGCTTGTTTGTGTCCCGAAATAGCTCCTGTGTCGGGGTTGCTTATATAAATGAAGATCACCGACACCGGAGGGAGAACTAGCCTCTATTAACAATTCTTGTTTGTGCAGCAGGTTCGTCCTCGTCAAGAAGACGTCGTAACTTAACTGAGAGACCCTCGGTAATGGGCTATACAGATATTGCATGATTGTAAGTTCCGCGATATGGTCTTGAACACGACTTGAGAGGCATCTTCACTTTAGTCGTAAGAGTTAAGTTGTAGCCTTCGTGTCAGGCCGTTTAGGCCATTTCTTCTGAAACTGAAATCGTCAAGACTGACAACAAAAGTGTACATATCATGCGTTGAGTAAGCAAGCAAGCTGAGAAGTGTTGCGACTATCAAAACTCTTACGACTGATGCTAGTTTAGAACGCTTTGATCCTCGATCATAATCTATCAATCCCATGATTAGTCCAGTTGCTATATTCCTCCTTTCTCTCCCTGTTTATGGGCTCAACCCAGGAGGCCAAAAAGGTAACCCCCTTGAAAGGCCCATATAAGAATTCAAGGACTGGATAATCAAGCCACGGCTTCGGATTGTTTAAGTAAAACTCGGAACTGTCGGCTGATATTTCAGTTCTTAAACTCTAAGTTCAACGAGAGTCTTTCTATAAAATTCGATGCAAAATTTTACACAGCATGGGATTTGATATTGTTCTGGAAAAAATGCTCTTTCGTAATGATGTATATCGTTATAAGACGCACGGGTTTTTACGAGAAAAGCCTGGTCCCTCATGGAAAATTGATGCCAAACTCGGGGTGCGTCTTACAGCCAAGTATTTTGGTGAGACTGATTTTACCCACTTAACTCAAGATAGTACTCAAGATAATGACTGTTGGTAACAGATTTTCTTAAATTAATTCCGCCTTAGTAAGAATCTAGAATGACTTAATCATTTTCAAACGCTAGGAACATTTGAAGGAAAGCCAAGTGAAATGATGTGTGCTCCTTTTTCATTTAACAAATTTTTTCACTGTCTCCTATCCCTTATCTCTATTCCATTGCCGACGTTGTCGAAAGAATTACGAACTTTTAAGTCCGCGACACGCGTTTTTGTTTCTTCCTTGCGCGGGATCAAAACGGGCAATCCCTTCTGGGGCTTATCTTGCCTTCTCTGGTAGCCAATCAGCACATAGGGTTCGCATCATCTTACCAACGGGCACTATCAGCTATACAATAAGAGGTAAAATAAACTTTTAAAAAGGGCAACGCACTCTCGTTTTTGAAAAATGTTAAAGAATGGAGCGCTTAAACAACAAAAGGAATATATAGTACTTATTTTCCTTCAGTGGGTGTGTGTCCCATATGGTCTAGTGGTTAGGATCCGGCG